GCTCCATCGCCCCATTCATAATAGCGTTCCTTTGCCAGTGTTTCAAGACTTCTTCATAGACTGCCAAATGACAAACAATGATCAGACAGAGTGTAACTTTTTAGAATGGACAATGTGAATGAATCAAAGTATTCTCAGATGTTTTGAAAGGCCTGACACTCACAATATATCTGCAATGATATTGCACCATTTAATTGGCTATTAAGTTTCCTATGCATTTGGCAGATACTTCTATCTCTGAATCCATAAAAAACGCAAAATTACAAACGAGTTTGTGAAAGCGATGACTGCATGCGCATTCGTGTTACGTGTTCAGTCTATAGCCGTGTAGTGTTTCTTTACAAAGTGGCATCGCCAATTACTGGCCTGGCAGCAGAATACAGTGTTTTTAGTTGTTTTCACGGATCCGTGTGAATGTGGATCGTTTTGACAAAGTAGTTGTCTCTGCGCTAAAATAAAACCTTTCTGTTTTTAATGCATTGTTTTCATGTAAATGTAGACTTATTCTCACCAAGAGTTCCTTTATTTAACAGAAAAAAAAAACAGTTATTGTGAAATATTATTAAAATTTGAAGTTTTCTACTTCTACAACTTCTACTTTTGTCGAAAGTTGACTAAAGTTTTGTCGCTCGAGTTGTCTTCGCTGATACGGAGAATGGCGGCGAATACACAAACCTGCCAGACATAGAAGCCAGGTGAGCGTGAACGCACATGACAAAATGCAAATTTAAAAGAAAGATATCATACAGACTTTTTTGCATAGTGCATACACATAATATATTTATATATATATTATGGGCATGTGCAAAAATGTGCAAAAATCACTGATAAGTCAAATTAAAAACATAAAAATGCTCATTTTAAATAAAAATGTCAGACATACTTAAAAGGTATACAGTATATATATATATATATATATATATATACAGAGAGAGAGAGAGAGAGAGAGAGAGAGAGAGAGCTACAGATAGATAGTCAATGCAAAGATATTTGAAACACATAATAAATATTTATTTTGAGACAAAAAAATAACAATTTATTTTACAGTGCTCTGAAAGCAGTGTTTTCTTTTTACAGAATAGCAATTGGAACTGCTATTAAATATACACATAACATCATAGTATTTTCAGTATTGCTAATGCTAAAGTAATACATAATTTTCACCATATGAACTCAAAACGTTTGTCTTATTTTCTGACAGACAAACTACACGTCGTAATTATGACCAGGCAACACTTTTAGAGATCTACTAGAGGTCTTTCTGACATGGTCTAAAATGCTGCAAACTGAAAAACCACTACATAAAATAAAGGATTTGCCATGACTCTTTTTTCCCCCATGTGTTATCTAGAGGTTGTCTCATCTTTATCTACTGTAAAATTAGCACTGTTTGAATAAGCATGTAACAGAGGTAATGTGTCTCAGTGTCTTCAGCTTGTAGTCTTAACTGTTTACAACTGAGTAAAATGCTTTGTTAGAACCAAAACACTGGCTTTTGTGTGGTCTGTGTGAACTGCTAAAATGTGTTGGGTGTGAATGAGATTAATATAATCTGACTGCAAATATTTCTGATTGTCATCCATTTCATCACAACGGGAAGAAGAATGGTGTACATTTAAAAGTCACAACATCAAACAAAATGCAAGCAAGTGTAAAAGGCATCAGACATGACGTTAAACACATCTTTCATAGCATCGGGTGGGTGGTCTGCACATACAGGGTGGCACCATCCACCAAAACCGCACTCATTCAGACACACATTTCGCGGTTGCACAATTCATACTGTTTCCTTTTCATCCTAAAAACCACAAACAGGAAATGGCAGTGCTTTTTATTATGTCACATAATAACCAAATGCACACAAAGTGTTTTTTTTCCTGTTTCAACTTCTCATATGACCCTAAAATAAGCGAGGTATCCGCGAACCCAACCCACACAAGTGTGTACTTCAACTACAGAGAGCTTCTGGACTTCCACATCAGGTGAAAGTCTCCAAGACACTTGGTTAGTTGGGTGAGTATCCGGTCTATTACCACTGTAACAGTTCTGTGGCTGCAAGAAATCTACGCCACTCCATGTCCATTCACTGCATCACATTCAATATTAAAACTCCTTGCTTTGTGCTTAAATGAATGATCTGATATTTCCAAACCTGAAGGGGAATTCCATGTCAAACATATTGGTTGCAGCAATCATGAGGCAAAACACTGAAGGAATATGATTCACATTTGCAAAACTAGGTTAGTCATTGAAAACAGTTTGAAACAACACCCTTCTGATCTAGAATAAATCTTTTTCTGTTGTACCAGACTGCCATGACTGATAGTAGACAACAGAAAATGCTGTTGCTGCTACATAAAAGAGGTTTTGAAAACAGAACATTCATTTAATAGCTTTTATCTCACATGTTCTGAAAATAATCTAAGAAAGAACTGAATTCAATGTAAATGAATAGCAGAAAACTTGGTGATCACTATGTGTTTTGGCCCAAAACTACTCAGGGTATCAAGTGGTGTTTACCATTTCCATTCTTTCATTTTCAAGCTTAAGGTAAGTTTTGTTTTGGGACCAGATCGGCTAAATCCAGGAATCATGAGGCCAAATGGTTTAACTTTAGGTCAAATTGTTCAAAGGTTATAAGCAAATACATTTTTTGACAAGTCTGTTTTCCTTCAAGACATAGTTCACCCAAAATTGAAAAATCATGTAGGCCTACTTTTTTCTTCTGCAGATTCATACAAAACTATGATATTCTGAAGAACTTTGTGAACCAAACACTGGACAGAATTGACTCCCACTGTATCTCAAGCTAATTATGTTTATGGTCCACAGTCTTTATGTTTGGAATCACATGAGGGTGATGAATGATGACAGACTATTCGAAGAGTTCAGATGCAAAAGCCTCTAAATGCCATTTGAAATTTTCTTCTAAAATGACCATTTTTATCAAGCTTGTATATTTAACTTAGTAATTTCACTTAAATGACAATTAATAGGTAATCTCCATTGCCATTTAAGTGAAATTACTGAACTTAAATATACAAGCTTGATAAAAATGATCATTTTAGAAGAAAATTTCAAATGGCACTTAGAGGCTTTTGCATCTGAACTCTTCATTCATATTTGGGTGAACTGTCCCTTTAACTTCATCTGAAGATCATTGGAGAAAATTCATTAGAGGAGCAGCACAATTTATCATCAAATATCAAAGATGGAGGCCGATCTACCAGGTGCTAAATACTCTGACAAGCCATAGACAGACAAATAATATATGAAAACCAACAAATACAATAAGATGCATGCTTACCTTAACTCTCTTAGAGGTGAAAGCACACAAAGTTGGGCCTATATATACTCACAATCCATTTATTTGTTTTTATTTGAGCAGTAACCGTTCAGCTCAAAAGGAGAGAGCCGAAGCAACAGAGCTTATTAGCACTCCCCCCCAAATGGATCAAGCCAATCATGTAAATACTGCAATGGATAAATCTGTGCAACTTAGCGTTCTTGCTTACAGTGCCAATTCACAGTGGGAGATGAAGATCGAAAAGTTCCTGGAAAACATCTCTCTGTTTCTTATACTTTCCCTTGTTGCTTGGATCGCACTAACTCAGGAAACCAAAAGCAAGCCTGCAGAGATTGTGACGGCAGTGTGAGCATCAGATTCAGTGGCAGTACAATACATTTCAGACTCTCCATAAAGCTTTAAACTTCTTTAAGATATACTAAAGGTACAAAAGCTGTCACTGGGGCGGTACCTTTTCAAAAGGTACCTTTTGAAAAGGTACCGCCCCAGTGACAGCTTTCGTACCTTTTTTTCTGAGAGTGTAATAATAACCCCAAGCAAACATCAGCTCTGAGAGCTACAGTACCAATGAGCTTTGTTTCAACCCAATTGGAAAAAAAAAAAAAATTATATCTTGAATATCTCCATCCGTATAAGTATAATTGAAAACGAGATTAAAGGACAACTCCGGCGCAAAATGAACCTTTGGTCTAATTACACATTGATACCTAGTCAACCGTTATCTGAGATTTGTTTTCATGATTGCCGAATGTAAATAGTTTTATCTCTAAAAACAGTTTAGCCTATAACGCTAGTATAATGCTAGTATATAGGGCGAGTAATGACAAATAAAAATCGCTTGTTATTACCACTAACAAGGCTCAAAATAGCCCCACAGTAAAACGACAGCATAACAAGGGTCCCTACATTCAAACCGAAGCATTGAGAACTTTGTCAGTGTCCATACAGTTTAATAAGAAAATATTTTATAGACACAGTCAACTTCGCGAATACAGGAAGAAGCCATCTTTGAAAAATAGTCCCTATCAGTCGATCTACGAGCGCCGATCCAAGTGCGCTGAACTGAGCAGGATCTCATATGGTCCGTTGTTTCCAGAAGAAACACAAACACAAACCGTTTACTTCTCTTCAATATGTACACGTAGCCTACTGTTCGCGCTCACCTTATCACCTTATTCACATCTCACCAGCGCACTTGGATCGGCGTTCGTAGATCGACTGGTCGAGACTATTTTTCCAAGATGGCTTCTTCCTGTATTCGCGAAGTTGACTGTGTGTATAAAATATCTGCTTATTAAACTGTATGGACACGGACAAAGTTTTCAATGCTTCGGTTTGAATGTAGGGACCCTTGTAATGCTGTCGTGTTACTGTGGGGCTATTTTGAGCCTTTTTAGTGGTAATAACAAGCGATTAATAGTTGTTCTCCTTTAAAAGAGCCTATAAGCTGTCAATCACTGATATAGAGAAACTGATTATTTACTGTACAGTGTGAACGTCTGTCTCTGAGCCAGTCTGATCTGAATTTAGTCAAACAAAATTGCGAACAAAACAAGCGATTTTTATTTGTCATTACTCTATGCCCTATATACTAGCATTATACTAGCGTTATAGGCTAAACTGTTTTTAGAGATAAAACTATTTACATTCGGCAATCATGAAAACAAATCTCAGATAACGGTTGACTAGGTAACAATGTGTAATTAGACTTAAGGTTCATTTAGCGCCGGAGTTGTCCTTTAAATTGAAAGAAAATGGACAAATCAATTTGTTTTCAAGACCAGATTATCAGAGCTGCTTTCCACATTCATTTTATAGCAACAGCATACACAATCGTCTCACTTTTATTTAACTTCTCCAAAGTATTTTTTGGAAAAATATCCAAGTCAACACGGAGATGAATAAATGTATCCAACTTACTTCATTAATGCATGTTCCTGGCACATTATTTCCAAGGAAACAATGTGTGTCCTCATTAAAAGTGCAACAACTCACTCTACATCACAAACAACTTTCCAGTTTGCTGAGATCACCAAGCACTCTAATATGCCGGCCCCTTCCCCACGTGTAATGCTCACTTTTCACAAATCCAATCAATTCTTAATTTATAAAATCAAGTCCCACCTTATATTTTGGCTATTTAAAAAAAATCCTGTTTCATCAGAAATGTCACATTACAGAACGAAAGAAGGAATGTGAATGCCACCTCACATAAAACCTCACTCAAAACTCTCCTGAGCTACAAAAAGAGCCATTTCTGAGCAATAAGATTTGCCTTTGGTCAGCTAACATATGCAGCTAAAATTCACCATCCGATGGACCTGCCAAAGGCTTCACACACTGGGAATCCGATTCTCAAGCAATTACAGCTGGCTTGTCCTCATCTAATTTCATCACTCAGCTACATCCCCAATAAATGCTGAGGGCAAAAAAATTAAAACCAACATTCTACCATCAGTTTACGCTTTTGGCTTCCGGACAGAGCTATCCGGTGGCTCGACTAAGAATACACGGCAAAACACCTCAGATGTGTGGCTTCGTATTAAGTGCTTCAAAGACCTGCCATTCACAACCACAGATCTCCCCTTACCGCTCTCAGGCTCGAAAGCAGCACTTAGCTTTGTGCTTTCCAAGAAACTAAACATCTATTCAGAGAAGCACAGCACTGCATGGCAGATATTCCTGCATTGCAAAATTTCCCCTTGTTTTCACACTAAAAAAACCGGGGGGGAACGACGAGCAAAAAGAAACACATGTGGAATATGTGTTTGTGATGAAATGAGCTAGTGTGGCGTGACTAGACCAAGAAGTCTGTATTACGCATAAACAAATTCAATACACGCATGGACGGCACGCTATTTACAGTCCAAAAGGGCGGCTTTCTCTAAAGGCAATTGTCCGAACTCAAAACATGACTGTAATGGAACGATTCTTCCTGTTTTCAGGTCCGCATGAGCCTTATGTTTGAGACTGTTTTGATCAGAGGAAATTTCTTTATCAAAACACAAAGAAAGAGATGAAGATGACAAGGTTTTTTAAAAAAAGGTGATTCGAACGTCCCGCACTGAACTAAAATCGTTGGCTGATTGTGTCGGGCTGGTTGGGATGCTCAAACAAACAGAGCAATGTTTTCAATATGTTGCTGCATATTAAGTTAGGTTGGGAGAAAGTATTTGAACACAGAAAACACACACATCACCTTTAAAGGCTATATCAAGGCAAGGGAAACATGGATTTGTTGGCTTAACGAGGATTTTAAAAGGTCATGCACATTGTCACTATCCTCCATGACCTTGACTAACAATTTGGCAGTACGTTTCATTGAAGCCTAAAATGTAACAATTGCAAGTGCATCCATATATACCCAGGCAGTTGATAGCTTTTGGAATCATATTGATTCAAAAAGTTAGCATTTACTCCATCAACGAAATCCAGGTTTCTATGGCTTTAACCTATTTCAGTGGAACTGTTCCCGAATACACTGCAGTATAACAGCATGGAATTAGTGGAATTAGTTCTCTGAAAAGATCTATATTGAAAACACACAACTAATATTTATAATAACAACAGATTTGGGCAATAAACCCTATAAATTCTAAATGCTAAATTTATATATAGCAAAATAAAGCTGAGTTGCTTTGAATTATTCACTCTGGGAAACTTCAAGACAAATAAATAAATAAATAAAAATAACATGAATAATATAATATAATATAAAATACACTTTTTTTTGTAGTGAATCTGTTTGGAAGGGAAATCATGTTCTGAGAGATAATTAATCTCTTGAAAATAAAATAAACTTTTAGCAGTGAATCTGTTTGGAAGGGAAATCACGTTCGACGGTTCGTTTCGCTAACTCCCAAAAGTAGGCCGAGAGTGATATCTGTCAGGAAGCAGGGACATTTTCTTCATGCTATTCCATATAGCACCTTTAAATGTATTGTAACCACTGCATACATCAATCTAAGTAATCTCACTACTGCATAAAGTACGTCTAAAGGGACTGCACTACTGTTTTCAAGCGACGGGACTGCACAGCAAAGGGATTGACCACTCTAAAGGGCACCGAGAGGTCATGCTACTGTAATATTCAGACCAATAGATGGTCAATGCCTCTTGAAACAGTACAGTACAGTACTGTACAATGCCTTGTACAGTACAGTACAAGGCAACAAAGATCTACAGGCGCAACTTATTGGATTTGTCTCACCATCATTGCACTTTGGGAGGTCTAAGGTAAGGTGCACGGGCCATATCTATATATTATATTATATTATATTCAAAGGTCACTGGGCAGCAGCAGTCAAACATGTAGGCCACGTTTTTGGGAGAAAAAAAAAAGTAAGTAATAAGTATCCAAAATATGATTTCAAAGTACACATGAAATAATTCTGAAAGACGGCAGTGTATCAGAGTTCTTCAGATTCCGTACACCTTTCCCATAATGCATAGACCTGCGATCGATCGGTCAGTGACGAGGTGACCTGCGTCTAGACAAGCATGTGGATCTCGTTGTACTCATCGCGTCCATCTTCATCAAAATTGGGCGAATCCTCATCGGCATCCAACTGCAAGAACAAAAAAAAAAATGTGTACTGTAAAAATGAATGCGCTTTATCTAATCAAAAAGATTGTGGCAACAGATTACAAGCAATATCATTAAATTTAAGAATAGAATTGAGTAATAATAAATCAAATTAATTCCTTAAAGGTTAACCATTTAAAGTGAGTAAAACTCACCATTATGGTTATCAGTGTTTTTTTTTTTTTAGGTTTGTTTTAAAATTACGGTTTTCTCCTTCAGTGATTCTGCTTGTTAACATCAGATGTCTTCAATGTTGTTGGCAATATAAAATAAAGATGTCTGATGTCTGTCTTTTGTTTAATTTTTTGGTGTAAACTTTTCTCATTTTAAATAGTTAAAGGATTAGTTCACTTTTGAAAAAACTTTTGCTGATAATTCACCCCCATGTCATCCAAGATGTCCATGTCTTTCTTTCCTCAGTCGAAAAGAAATTAAGGTTTTTGATGAAAACATTCCAGGATTTTTCTCCTTATAATGGACTTCAATGGGAACCAGGTCCAACCGAGGTCCAAACGACAGTTATAACAGTTTCAGATGGAGCTTCAAATGTCTTTAAACGACACCAAACGATGAATAAGGGTCTTATCATGCTTACATTTTTGGAATAAGCTTTGAAATAACCGATCGTTTCGCATGATAAGACCCTTATTCATCGTCTGGTGTCGTTTAAAGACATTTGAAGCTGCATCTGAAACTGTTATAACTGTCGTTTGGACCTCGGTTGAACCTGGTTCCCATGGAAGTCCATTATAAGGAGAAAAATCCTGGAATGTTTTCATCAAAAACCTTAATTTCTTTTCAACTGAGGAAAGAAAGACATGGACATCTTGGATGACATGGGGGTGAGTAAATTATCAGCAAAAGTTTTTTCAAAAGTGAACTAATGAATTAAAAGTGAATTGAATTGAAAAAAATTGAATAATGTGATTAATTATTACTCAATTCTAATTTGTTTAATTGAATTAATAATATTGCTTGTAATCTGTTGCCACAATTTTATTGATTAGATCAAGCATATTCATTTTTACAGTGTGAAATCAAAACCAGGTTTTGATCGTATCATCAGGTGTAAAGGGGAGCACACGAATACAACATGAATACGAGGACTCACCGCTGCAAGCTCTCTCTCCTCAAAGATCCTGGTCAGGATGAGTCTACGCAAAGGTACGGTCATGATTAAGATGAAGGGAAAGGCCAGAGAGGCTATGGTCGACTTCACCACCCACAGCAGGACGATACACAACAACTGAATGATGGTGAACATGTTCATACGCCAAGTCTTCACCTGAATGTCAAACAAGTTACATCTAGAATTACAAGGTCTGAAAACTTAGCATTTTTCTATTATAATATAATAGATCATATATTTGAATAACCTACATTGCCAGACACAAATTTGCTTATTTCATAAGCAACAGAAATAGAGCAGAATATGAAATATTCGTATTTATTTGTTTTAAATTAAAGAGGACTTTTGGACACTTACTGTGCTTGTAAATTATATACAGTGTTCATATTTATTAAAAGTGGTTTGTCATTTTAATTTTGGGGGTTCTGTGAAAAAGTGCAAAATGCAATGGTGATTTGTGCGCCACCTTGTGGGTGCTTGACAAAACTTTCAAAGAGAATCCAGATGTACCAAAGTCAAAACACAATCACAGATGATCATCATTGCATTTGTAAATAACATCACCACCAGCTCAAGCTCTTGGGAAGAGCTGATTACCTTGGTAACATAGATGTGGTCGGGGTGATGTTTAGCGGGAGTGACCATGAGGGTGATACGCTCATAAAGCTGGATACCAGTAAGAGAAGTGATGCCCATGTACAGAAATATCCCAAACAGCACAGCCAGAGGAATATGACGCAGCACATCTGTCATCACTATAGACAACCCTGCACAGAAGAGATATGACACCAGAGTTCAATACATATTTCAATTCAATACATTGATAATCAGATGAAACTATTCTTCTACCAAGAAACAACTCATTATTCTAAATGCAGGATATTCATTGCCAATCAACAGCATCTTGGCGCATTTCTGGTGTCCATTTTCACTCGTTTTGAAGTAGTAAAAACTTATAATTGCAACTGCAAGCTCTGACTTCTTCCTTTTGGCTGTTGGGATGTCATAAAACACAAATCAAATGGCAGCAGCCTTGGCAGTTAATTACTTCAACTTACCATTTCACTTATAAATAACAAAGCGACACATTAAACCTCTTGACCTCGTAACAGGCAGAAGCTTCTTATTTAGTAACATGGCTGAACATGAATGCACCAACACTACTGCAGGTTTGGGCTCAGAAAGTAATATTCATATTTAGCAAGGATACATTGAATTGATCAAAAGTTACAGTAAGGCATAATGTTACATAATGTTAATGTTGAACTTTCTATTCATCAACGAATACTGAAAAAAAGATATAATGGTTTCCACAAAAATATAAAGCAGAACAACTATTTTCAACACTGATAATAATAATGATGATTTCTGAAGAAGCACGTGATACTGAGACTGGTGTAAAGATGCTGAAAATTCAGCTCTGCATCAGAATAAAGGATTATTTTTGTGTGTTTTAAACACGAAAACAGATATTTTAAATGATATTTCACCATGTTGCTGATATTGTTGTATTTTTTGATCAAATAACTGCAGCCTTGGGGAGCAAAAGAGACTAATTTTCAAAAACAATGACAAATATTTTGAACTTTTGAACAGTAGTTTATATAGAATTTGTGATAATAAGATGCTCATCCAATCAGAATTTTCAATAGCCCTTAATGCAAAGTTCACACAACAGGATTTTAAGCCCAATTTAAGCCCGATTTGCAAATCGTTGACCTCGCCGACAGATCAGGGTGTTATCGTGTGCAAATCGCGGGGGATTAGCGGGCGATGAACGCTTGCCAATCTGTTAGTATGAAAGAGCCAACAACGCATCAAAGACGCTCGCAGACACGTTGCCGAACCCAGAAAAATAACTAGCATCCTAGATATCCAGAGCTGTCATACGACTCAGCCTCAGTGATGTCATGAGCTACAGCCAATCAGAGCAAAGCATGGGTTGAGGTCACCGGGTAAATCTTATTTTTTCTTTTTTGCTTTTTTTTCTCAGAGCAAATCATCCCACAAACGGTTTGCAGCACTAGTTTCTGTCTGACGTAGAGGTCTTCACAGTGCACCCGAGACCCGTCGGCCCGGGTCTGCGTTGGGTCGACCAACGCATTCTCATCCTTTAGTGTCATATAGGACGCTATGACAAAACGGCGAAACGAAATACTACTCGCATGGCACCCGTTATCGTTAATATAACACGCGCTGAGAACGGGCTTCTAATACCCGCGTGATCGGAGTGCAATCTCAAGCGCGTGTCATGTTTCTATGGCAACCAGAGCAGAGTAAATTTCCGCCAAACCGCGCTTTACATTTTCTCCAATGTTTATAATAATATAAATGAACCGTCTTGTTTAATTTTAAAGTTTTGGTGGTCAGATTCAGACTCAATGAAGAGCAGAGAGCACAGATATGATCAAGCTGAACAAGCAACAACAAGCAATCATTATTCAAAAGGGCAAACAGTTAAAGTTATTATGCGAGTTAACTCGAGTCAGAATGTACATGTGCAAGGCTGCATTTGTCATCCATCACCGTGACATCAAGTGGACTTTTAAAGCTGAAATAATGAGTGGATTAAGCTTGGAAAAACAAGAAAAATAACATGGATAGAACTTTCTTGTCGCCGGGGTGGGCAACAGTTTTAGTCTGAGGGCCACAGTTACTTTGGCAAAGTAACCCGAGGAGGGCCACCCTTTGGACAATTGCAATTGAACATAGTTAAATGATTTAATTGATACAAATTAATTCAATGCAAGTATACAATTTTTGTATACGAATATGTCTCTTCAGTTATTTACAGCTACTAACTGGATTTACTTTCAAGCATTAATTTCCTACACTACTCAGCATATTGTTCAGCTGTCATTCATACCAGCTGTAGCTATTCAAGATAGAAAACTATTAACAAAACTGCAAATATATGTTTGTGCAAATTTATTAGCATACTGATACAGACTTCAGGCAATCTGGCTTGGAATTATCAAATTTTATTGAGGCTATATACCACCAGAGGGAGAACTTCAGAATAAAAAACATTTTCAGCTGATTTCATTTGTGATTATTCATTTTTTGTAATTTCTTTCACATATTTTGTTCAAATCTTTTATAAAATAGAACACAATTTAAGTGCAGATTAACTTCAAACATACTGTATGTTTGCTTGAATGATATAAAGGACAACATTGAAATAGGCCTATGCATCCCACAAAATTTAAATTTGATTTAGCTGTATCATAACCATCTACGCGGGACATGCATAAGAAACATGGCAACATGAAACTGAAAAATGTTTTAAAAATAACACCAATCAAGGGTAACTTGATGGAACTAGCCAAACATAGGCTACTTTAGAAAAATGTATTTCATCCTATGCAACTGAGATGACCACGAAGAGCGTTTTGTCGGTGTTCTGTAACTCAATGTGAACAATTGAGGCGGTCGCCTTTCTTTACTAACTCATCGAAATCTGGGGTCGTGTTCGACGTAGAGATGCGCAACACGGATGACAGGTGTGCATCGGTTAGTCGTGATCTGTAGCGTGACTTGTTAAAGTTCATTACAGAGAAAGTCTGCTCGCATACATACATGGACCCGAATAAAACTAGCATCCTTTGTGCATGCCTCCGCATGTTAGGAAACTTGCCCTCGTTGAATGCACTATAAAACCTGTCCAATGATGACGAGGTGAATTTCTCCTTGAGAGAGGGATCGCACTGCATGTCAATCAACTCAATCAACTGGTCGCTGTCAAAGGAAAAGGGGGCGGACACCAGCTCCATCTCTTTTTCTATTTTACCGAAATCAGAGAAACGCCTGTTGAACTCAGTGTGCAGATCCTCGATTGTAGTGGTGTATTTGACAGTGAGTCGGGATGGCACATCCTTTATTATGGCAAGAGTTGGGAAATGTGTAAAGCTCTTGTTTGTCATTTGCCGGGAAAACAGAGTCAGCTTTGCTCTGAATGCTCGCACGTAGGAATACAGTTTGTGCACGAACACATCCTTCCCCTGCAGCTTCCTATTGAGGTCATTCAAATGGCCCATTAAATCCACAGAAAAGGCAAAGTCAAACATCCAGTCGGAATATTTAAGTTCTGGAAAGTCACCAGCCTTCCCGGCATTTTTAATAGCAGGATCGCAATTCAGATAAAGACGGTGTTTTTTTTGTTTTTTTTAAGGCGGTGTGTGTTTCATCCAAATTGCGAGTGCATCGCGGGGGCCGGATTAAAGCACTATGCGGGCCGGATCCGGCCCCCGGGCCGTATGTTGCCCATGTATGCATCAGTCAGTCAGTAACGTTACAAGGAAGTGAGACGACGGCTACTAAAATTAGGTAAGACAAAAAGTTTTATTTTTCGCAACTCCAGTGAAATAATATGTGACAATCGGGTCCAGTCGGGTTTGTGTCTTCCTGCCGGGTTCGGGTCCAGTTTTCAAATAATAGACGGGTCCAGGTCGGGTCCGGGCAGTACATTTATGTCATTTCTCGGGTCTGCACGGGTCCGGGTCCAACTTTTGAAATGAACGACGGGTCCGGGTCGGTTCGGTGTAGCACATTACGGGTCTCTTTCGGGTCGGGCATGAATTTTTGGACCCGTGAAGACCTCTAGTCTGACGTCCATATTCGCGTGTTGTGTTCTTCTCTCCGTCACTGGGTATTGATGCACTCGCCGTTTCGTGTCATTTCCAGTTCGTTTTATCGCGTGATTTTTCGTGACAAAACGTGGTTTGTAGACCAGATAGAATGGTTGGGTGACTGAGTTGTTGTCAACTCGTGTAGTGCGTTACCTCCTGTTGCGAATCAATCACGTTGTGTTGTGTGGTGTGAACAGCTCAACAACTTGAACACTCCTGATTTCACAGAGAGCAAGTCATGCTCTCAGTTCAGACCAGCGTTTTAAAATCATGTAGTGTGAACAAGGCTTTAGGGGACCTTTGCAAAAATAATAATATACAGACACACTTAGGCCCCATCCACACTACTGCGTTTTCGTTTAAAAACGGAGACCTTTTGCTACGTTTGCACCTCCCGTCCACACTAAAATGGGAAAAACGAAGACCTAAAACGGAGAAGTTTAGAAACGCTGCAGCTGCGTTTTGCGTTTTGAATCTCCGGAGGGCGTTTTAGTGTGGACGAGACAAAACGGAGGAGTTTACAAACGATGACGCAGAGGCTCACGCTCGGCTCTATGATTGAGTGTCATCAGTCATGACGTATCTTTCCCTGATTCGCCAACCACTGTTTACACCGGCGCGCGCATGCCCAGTGTTGGTGAATGGTCACGTGATCCACGTTTTCAGTCGTTTTAGTGTGGACGGAGATAAATTCTAATACGCAGGTAAAACGCTACTGTGGACGGAGATCGTTTTCGTTTTAATTCTCCGTTTTTAAACGAAAACGCAGTAGTGTGGACGGGGCCTTAGAAGAAAAGGTTCTAGTATATAGAACCTTAAAAGGTTCTATCAGCGCTACGTATTTGGAACCCCTAAAAGGTGATACACTCTTAAAAAAAGGGTTCCTCTGGGTTCTATATAGAACCTTGGGGTTCTGTACTTGGCCAATAGAACCTTTTACCCAAAAAAATGGTTCTATATAGAACCATTTTGGAGTTCCATATATGAAGCGGGGGATGGAACCATTTCTGGTTCTAAATAGAACCATTTCTTCTAAGAGTGGACTTTCACATGCTCATGAGAATTAAGAGTCAATCATCTATCAATATATTTTATGTATTTTATTTCTAGTGTTTCTTACCCACTAGGATAGCCACACACATCCCTGTCACCCTCTGCTCTTTAACTTCTTGGATCATGGGCTTCTCTCCAGGGGCAGTGGCTTTGCTCATGACTGTCAAAGCATTCACATGAGTCACCGAGCGCACAGTGGCAGCAGTCAGCCAGGGCAGGCCGAAGAGTGGGCAGATAGCTCCCAAAGACACTATCAGAAGCAGGTCCAGATGAAAGCCAGAACCCTTGACCAAACGCCTCTCCTTCTTGCTCACTATCAAGCTGCATACAGGATGAAATTGTTGGAATGAATGCAACGAGCAACAAATATGATTGCGTTTCCATCTGAGATTAAATTTAACATCTCAAGATGTGTTGCAAAGGACTGTACATGTAATGTTAGCTTACTCACGTGGTGATTTGTGTCTCCATGAATATGAGGATAAAAACAAGCAGGGCCGGGATCACTGAGGCCCCCATCATCCAAACCGGAAAAGGCTGTTTATCTCCTAAAGGACTGATAAACCAGCTCCGTTTGTCCGGAGATGTGACCGAGAAACCAGAGGGGACGTTCAGCTTCTGCAACCACAAAAACACAAGCGCTCGTATCCCAGAGATCCCAGGCTTCATTGGTTACAGGGCTCTGCCAAACCAACCACACTGTAATACAGACTCAGAAGAAACCTGGCTCCAATTACAGGCCCAATACTTAATAAGAAGAGTACGTTGGAAGAGGAGTTTCTTTGCAGTAATATATAGTGCACGTGAGAGTTTAAGAGTGTGGTTACCTGTGTGTACGTATCAGGAATGGTGCAGTCCACCAGCACCGAGATCAGTATAGAGATGGGAATCCCGAAATCGCCAATGATTCGTCTGGCCTTTGATGACAACAGATGAAACACAAACACGCAAACAGAGGATGGAAAACTTTTTAGTCGGCAAAAAATGTTTGCACACAAGGAATCACAACTGAAAAAGCATTTTTGTTGCTTTCCAGTAAAATCGTAATTAAAATGGAATGTATATAGCAAAGTTGTAGAATTACTTTCAAGGGATGGATGGATGGATGGATAGATAGATGGATAGAATGACAAACAGAGAGATAGAGAGATAGACAGACAGACAGACAGACAGACAGACAGACAGACAGACAGACAGATAGACAGATAGATAGATAGAATGACAGACAGACAGACAGACAGACAGACAGACAGACAGACAGACAGATAGATAGATAGATAGATAGATAGATAGATAGATAGATAGATAGATAGATAGATAGATAGATAGATAGATAGATAGATAGATAGATAGATAGATAGATAGAATGACAGACAGACAGACAGACAGATAGATAGATAGATAGATAGATAGACAGACAGACAGACAGACAGACAGACAGACAGACAGACAGACAGACAGACAGACAGACAGACAGACAGACAGATAGATAGATAGATAGATAGATAGATAGATAGATAGATAGATAGATAGATAGATAGATAGATAGATAGATAGATAGATAGATAGATAGATAGATAGATAGATAGATAGAATGACAGACAGACAGACAGACAGACAGACAGACAGACAGACAGATAGATAGATAGATAGATAGATAGATAGATAGATAGATAGATAGATAGATAGATAGATAGATAGATAGATAGATAGATAGATAGATAGATAGATAGATAGATAGATAGATAGATAGATAGATAGATAGATAGATAGATAGATAGATAGATAGATAGAGTTTATTTACACACACATAGACACTAGCTTTGCGTGAGAAATAGAGTGAAATTTAAGATGTTATTCACAGAAAATCTTCAAATGGAGCTGACAAGATATATAATGATGAAAAATTAGCTTGCTTATCTTGATTGATTTGTTTCAGATAAATATATTCCTTTTATCAATTATATTTTGCTTTATATTTACCTTTCCACCAAGGAATCTGCTGTTCCGAAATTTTCGCAGAAAGAAGGCCACAAAAAAGGTTCCTATCATGAGTACTAAGGATAGCAGGGCTGTGTTGGGCTGGTTGAGGATGGGTTCTGCAATCACACCTTTGTCTATGGGTTTGAAGGCAGACAGTACAGGAGCTGTAGGGTAGCTCTTCATCAGAGGGTGCTCTTGAAACACCTGAGGGAAAATAACACATTTCTTTATTTAACCCTCACTTGGATTCTAGCATCTGAGAAATGAATAAATGTAACTAAATAAACACATTTCTCCACACATTACATTAACAGCAAACTACTAATATTCTTGCTGTCTACCACCTTACATAGGCAGCCTCCTAAGTTAATTTCAGTAAAATCAGAGTATTATGGCATTGCCTTCTAAGCACATGTAAAGATGCCCTTGAATTTGGCAAAAAGGAGACACCTTCCTTTTAAAACAGTCTACACATCTGAAACAAACCTACGATGGCTTTGCACATGCAGGTATTGGTGACGTTAAATATGTACCTTGATGAGCTTAGAGAAGGTTTCAAAGATGAAAATAAGAGAGATGAGAAATGCAAAGATCTCTTGGGTGAAAGGGGAGATGTAGCGTACGAGGAAGCTGCCCTCAGCCGCCACAATCACCAGGACAATGAAGATGAGCCAGAACCCAATCCACACTCGGCCTGTGAGATATTCGAAGCCCTGCGCCTGGCAGAACTGATAATGAGGAAGAACAAAGGAGCAATAGAAAAGATAGCAGAAGAAAAAGAGAGAAACAGGATGATAGAAAGGCAGACCAATATTAATGACATGAAACTACCTATTTTTTCTCGTAATGTTTGAACCATAAACACAAAAAAGTACCTTATAAAAAGCCTCCTCAAAGACCAAAAGTGGTCCAGAGAAACCAATTATGAGCAAGGGCTGTCCAGCTAGCAGGGAGAACAGCACACCCACTGTCGCCGTGGAGATGATGAGCTCAGAGACTCCCATCATGCCTTGTGTCTTCTCACCTAAATAAATGAGAATATAAAGTATCAAATCATACTGTGTAAACTCATTACCACCACACTAGAAAAAGAAATTTTCTGATGAATCGTAATTATGACACAAATTGTTGCATTTTTTTTTACTTAAAAGATTAAAAGTTGACATAATTTTTGACGTAAAAAGTCATGGTTATGAGATAAAAAATGGAAATTGACAACTCAAAATGAAGAGTCATTATAACATAAAAAGTAAATTATGATGAAATTACAATATAAAAATGTCAAAATTATGAGATGCTAATCATAACAGAGATTAAAGTCAGATTTTTGAGAAAAAGTCATTGCTGACTTACAGTTCATAATGATTTTTTATCTCATTATTATGACAAAATGTCAGAATTACGACACTATTGACATAAAACAAAGTTACAAAAAGTCAGTTATGAGATAAAAAGTCATATATATATGACACAGTCTCATAACTGTCTCAATCTCATAATCTCATATTCATGACTTTTTCATGTCATCATTATGATTTATCAAAGCATGTTTTTTTTTCTTATGTGGTGGAATGGGCTTCTATATAATACAAACACCATCAAAGATAGAAGGTGAGTCGAGGGACAAGAGCGTCACTGTATCACTTGCCTAATAAACCTCCAAAGGTGATAGTGGGTGAAAGAGCAGCAAAATAAATGAAAATGACAGCAGCCAAACATTGTGTGTCAATGGCGTCCTTCAGGTCGCTTAGATAGCGCGGATAACGGCGGCGAATATCATGGATCACACCTCCAAAGGGAATACCAGAGCGCTTGAGGGGGTCAACATCAAACTGATCCTCCTCCTCCTGTTCATCCGTACTCACGTCTATGACACAAAGAGTACAGGTCAACATTAACAGAACAAACAAACTGGAAAACGTGAATCTCAAATGTAATACGTATTTCACCTTTGGTCTCCAGGTCAGCTCCTGCAAGAGTACTGCCGCATCTTTTGTGCTCCCTCTCTTTGCGCTTGCGTAGCATCTGTTTCTGGAAGGAGGCCACGGTCTTCAGCAGGTCTTTTCCCTCGACGTCCGATGGTGGAATTACAATACTGCAGTCTAAGAACTCATTGATTCCATTAAGCAGGTCCTGGCGGTCATCAGCAAAGTATGCTACCTCGTGGAAGTTCTGTGGAAGGTCATGAAAAACAGTGAAACGTGAGTGTTTACGAGTAAGTTTAGCAACTCTTGACCAGTCGGTTGCAGTCCTGAAACTTGTTTTTAGCAATGTATCTTTTTAGCAATTTATTTAGACGAGTCTTAGAGGAGTAGTTCACTTTAAAAAAAAAAAAACTTTTGCTGATAATTTACTCACCCCCATGTCATCCAAGATGTCCACGTCTTTCTTTCTTAGGTCGAAAAGAAATTGAAAACATTCCAGGATTTTCTCCATATAATGGACTTCATTGGGAACCAAATGGTTCAAGGTCCAAATGAGAGATTCAGTGCAGCTTCAAAGGGGCTTTAAACGACACCATACGATGAATAGGGGTCTTATCTAGGACCCTTCAAGTCATGAGTCAAAAAAGACTTGTTCATTTTGATGAACGAGTTCGAACAGGAGAGTCACAAACGCTCATCACAGAACAGAGCAAGGCGACCATTGAAACTTAACCCTCCTGTTACCCTCAAATCTGATAACACTTTTTACCCTCTGGGGTCAATTTGACCCCAGTAATTTAAACCTCGACAATATGTTTTTTTTTTTTTTTTTACAAAGGTTTGTCTCAGTTAATTTATGTCTTTGTTGACTACTTAAGTAACGTTTTACGTAAGTAACGTAATTCAAATTATAACATGTTATAATGACCTCAATATAACAACCAAAACAAATGTGTGTGAAATTTTAATATTTCTTCTGTTTTATTATACATCTAAAAGAGCCTGGGGTCAAATTGACCCCAAGGAACACCGATGTTACAAAATTTGTACAGGACTTTGAAAAAATATTAGCAGGTTAATTTTATGTTTACAGAGTTGTCCCCATTAAATTAGGAAAAGTCATTAAATTTGAAGCAAAAAAAAAAAAATTATGTTTTTACAGACGTTAAACATTGAATGGGGTCAAATTGACCCCAAGGATAATAGGAGGGTTAAAATTTTTCATTTATTTTTTAAATTATCGTTTCGCTAGTTAAGACCCTTATTCATCGTCTGGTGTCGATTAAAGCCCTTTGAAGCTGCACTGAAACTGTCTTTTGGACCTAGAACCGTTTGGTTCCCATTGAAGTCCATTATATGGAGAAAATCCTGATCCCATCTTGGATGACATGGGGGTGAGTAAATTATCAGCAAAAGTTTTTATAAAAGTGAACTACTCCTTTAATGAAATATGCAAAGTTTTATGTCAAAAAACGTGTAGTGCCGTTGTTATATTTATTTGCGATTTACTTTAGAAAGAGTTGAAAATCAAAAATCTGTATTGTTATTTCGGTGAGGCTTGGTCTAAAGATCAACTTAAACAATTGTGTCCGATCTTCTCAAAAATATATAGCAAACAACAGCTTTCAATAAAATTCAATACGGCGGACGGGTCATAATTTGAAACTTGACAAATGGGGTGTCATATAACAGAATGGAGGAATATGAGTTAACCAGAATCAGAATTTTGGGTCAAGGCATTCTGAAGTTAGGATTTGATTTCTGTGCCATAAAACTGATTAAGCACTCTTTGGATGCTGGATGATGCCAATGATACCCATAAAGTTTTGTTTCAGCCTGCCAAAGCATTGGTAAAGTATCTTCTGTTTGAATGCTTTGCCATAAAATTTGTTAGAGTTTTATTGGAGAATGGGAAAGAATATCGAAAGTCCGTTCAGTGATTTTTGTGTGGTTTGGTCTGAATATTATCGTACCCAATTATGGAGAAGATTGGACAAAATTTGCAGCAGGAGTAGCAAAACAACATAAAATTCAAAATGGCGGCCAAGTAATAAGGTGAAACTTGACAGATGGGGTATCTTTTGATTTACTTAAGAAGTATGAGTAAACCAGAAGCGTAGTTTTAGGCCAAGGCATTTGGATTTAATTTTTATGTCATGAAACTGTTTAAGCCCTCTTAAGACATGAAGGCATTGATACCCCTCACAATTTGCCTAAGCTCAGGGTGCTAATATCTGTTTCTGGAGATATTAATTTGCTGGTTCTGGTAATGTCTGATACACTTTGCAGGAAGGTAGATCTCCAGGAACAGAAATGAGCGCCTCTGGCCAAAGCATTGCAGAGATACGTATATGCTCCATTCCTGTTTGGCAGATCCACCACAAAATTCATTACAGGTTTATAAAAGAAATCATTCTGGGATTATGTGGCTGGATCTCAAGATCATCTGACACAATTCTGGAAAAGATTGTGCAAAATTTATAGTTTTTTTGTTAACTTTAATACTTTAATAAACCTTAAAAGTATTTGTTAAAATCCAAAATGGCAAAAATTATAGCCAGAAATGTATCTGGACTGAACTGACCCAAGAATCATAAAAGACAAAAACGCAACTGGCGCTATTCAGAGGTTCTCAACAAGGGGGCCGTGGTCTAGTAGGATTTGAAATATTTAAAATAAGACAAAGCATGCATTAAAATGAGGTAAAACAACTAAAAATCCAATTCTTATCAAACCAATGATTCATATTGTATGATTCTGAAGATGAACCTTATCAGACATTAGGGTTGAGAAGGAGCGCCCAATCTCATGATAGTCCATGTTGGTCTGCGTGGGGCCCAGCAGCACAAAGATGAACCGAACCGGGACGGGGACTTCCAGAACGGACTCCAGAAGGACAGCCTCGTTCAGCCGGACAAAGGCCATCGCGGGCTTCTCTAGGAACTCCATACACCCTATAAACATCGAAAACCACACAAACAGGAATCCAGAAATCAAACACAACAGAAAGCATCAATCTTCGCTTAGGCATTATTGGAAAACTCTGCTGCTATGACTCAACATCATCTCTGGACCTGAACACAACAAACGCTGGAACGAAACACTCCTTAGCTTACCCACTAAGACCACTGTGGCCTCGGCATCCTTGGGAATCTTTGCCAAAAGTTTCATAGATCTGGCGGCAGCATGTCCCTCAGTTGAGACAGGGTGGAGGCTTTTCTTTTGTTGACAGAAGAAAATAGTTAGTGCCATTTGAACACCAGCCTCAAGCTGTGGCAGAAAAGCTTTGGCAGATACAGCGCATGCATAGCGGCCCTCACTCTGATTGTTTATTGTTCCATACGACTGAGTTCGGGTGAATTTTAATGAACCATTTTGCCTGTTTTGCATCACCGAGCGCTAATCTAAACCTACAGATCCAGGTGACAAAGTGGAAAAGCAAATGGTAAATCAATTTAGCACAATAGGTCTTCACTTTTTATATGGGCTGTTTCGAATGTGCCAACATTTTTAGCCATGAGGAACATTCATAGTTTCACAGCTAATGTATCAAGAGTTTAACTGGAAGCACCTGTAAACTCACTATTATGCTTAATCCTGCACATGTGGCAGAGACACTTACATGATCCAAGCATTAGCAGAGCTGCTAACCAGACCCAGACCGAGTGTGCAGATGCATTTTCACTGCAAATATATATTATTTTCTCTTGTTTTCCAGTACAAATAACTACAGATTAGCTGTTTCCATCCAAAATTGCAAATTTAACTAATGTGCAAAATTGGAATATTTGCAAATAAAGCAGAGTTTCCATCCAGTGAGTCAAAGAGAACAATATTGACGCTAAGTATCACTAAGAAAAATGGAAGTTCCTGCAGTGGGAGAAGCCGGTGGATATACTGTAATAATAAATTACTTTAATTTATCTTTAAGTTATCTGGCTTTCAGACGTGGATGCCTGCTGTGTGGTAATGATGTCGTGTAATACAGTTCTGGCAGGTAAAAATACTGAATAACTTTGATGACAGACAATTTCAGGACGACCAAGACAGCATTTCAGATGCTATGCAATGAGATCGGTCCACTGGTTGGTCCAATTATGCCGTCCCATCCCAAAGTCACATGACTTTTTTGAAGTGCATAGAGAAATGTATGTGTTTTCAAGTTTTTTTATGTGCATTTTTTGTATGTATCACATTTGTTTGATGTGAATGATGAAAAATAGTTACTAAGATATATTTATTTGAGAAGCAGAATTACTCCATTTATTATTTCTTGTTTTCTGAAAAATGTATCAAGATTAAGTGAGTTTTTGTCTAAAACAATAAAATATTTCACAATGAAAAGTCTCGTTTTATGACAATGGGTTAAAAAAGATTAAAAAAAAACGATTTTACCCCAGTGTCATTAAACAAACTTTTCATTCAAGAATGTTTAAGTATTTGTACTGGAAAACAAGATGAAAATACTGAGTAAGAAAATCATTTCTTTGCAGTGTTCTGCACTGATTTTGGTCTATGTGATTCTGTGGGGTGTATTAACACAGGGTAAATGCATTTAATGCAGTGCTACACTTTTATTGGTAGCTGGAAGCATAACTGAATACGTCAAAATATTAAATAAAGAAACAACATAATGAGTAGAGCTTTGGAAACTATGGATGTTCCCATTCTTTCTGCAGAGTTGGTTGAAGCTAGTTTAGCCGGTTTCTCAAGCTGATGTTTAGATGGTTTTGTTGGTCGAAAAAACCAAAGCCTAACCTGAACACGTCTAAAACAATTAAAACAAACCAGCCTGGTCAGATTTGTGGACCGGCAAACCACCATAGGCAAGTGTCAGGATTTTTTTTTTTCAGTAGATCTGGTTCCAACCAACAAAACTTACATTACATCGCTTGGGTGTAGGCCTTCAGAGCGATGCATACTGAATGGACCAAGCACTACCCAAGATGGTGTCCTCCAAGTAAACACATCACTAGCAGAAATTTTCTGGAAGCCTGGATGCTCACTACGGCATGCACACAAATGGAAGCAAGTAACTCACAAATAATGCCACAAGCACCTCTTTATCATGTTCTGCCGCTTTGGTGTCATGCATTTCCTCGTGATCCTGGGACACCAGAGGTAAGCTGGTGTCGTGAACGTGATTGTGGTTGTGACGGAAGCTGCCCAGGCTGTTGACAGAGTGGTTCCGATGGAAAAGGCCCTCTTTCTCGTCATTGGGGTGACTAGACAAGAAAAAAGTAATTTGAGAAGTCTAGAGAGCAATCTTTCATGTGAGAATGTTAAATGTATCCTGACGTTATAAAATAATTTTCTTGATTGTTTTTTTTTTATCTGTAAACATTCTTAAAACAAGATGTAAATGTAAATGAAAATATAATATAATATACTCTCAGAAAAAAAGGTAAAAAAGCTGTCACTGGCTAAGTAAGGTAAACTTTTGTCCATTTCAGGTGCTAATATGTACATTTCAGGTGCTAATATTTACATTTCAGGTGCTAATATGAAAATTTAAGGTGCAAATATGTACATTTTAGGTGCTAATCAGAACACTTTAGGTGCTAATATGTACATTTCAGGTGCTAATATGAACATTTAAGGTGCTAATATGGACATTTCAGGAGCTAATATGTACATTTCAGGTGCTAATATGTACATTTCAGGTGCTAATATGTACATTTCAGGTGCTAATATGAACATTTTAGGTGCTAATATGGACATTTCAGGAGCTAATATGTACATTTTAGGTGCTAATATGTACATTTCAGGTGCTAATATGTACATTTTAGGCACTAATATGTACATTTTAGGTGCTAATATGTACCATTAAGGTACCAATATGCAGCCTTTAGGTACAAAAGTGTACCTTTTGAAAAGGTACAGCCCCAGTGACAGCTTATGTAAACCTTTTTCAACATTTGAAGTGGATTAAAACCTTTCATCTAAGTTATACATGACTTTTGAGCAATACCCGTTTTTATCTTTGGGCAACTTTTTTTTACTTCAAATGTTGACTACTGTATATAATATAATATAATATAAATATCATAAATGTAATATAGTATAAATATCATAAATGTAATATAATAATACATTTCTTCTCAAGTACACTTGTCTCAAGTAAACTCTATTCTATAAACATCAGGCAATAAAGGGATAGCTCACAAAAATTAAAATTCTCATTATTTATTCATCCTCATTTTGTGTGTGTGTGTGTGTGTGTCATCATCATCAATCGGCTGCGAACAGGGTAGGTTTGCAGTCAGTCAATGTGTGTGTGTTTTGCCATGTATCTTTATGAAACAGCAAACAGCATCCATGAAAGTATAAGTCATATGGGTCATATGACAAGAGGGTGAATAAATGACAGTATTTTCACTTTCTTTTTGTGTAAAATATGATTTCTTTGTTATGACTTCTTTAATCTGTCAAGCTACTCCATTTGTTGAGTCCTCCGTGAGACAAATATCCCTGCTCTTGTGTTTATATAGCTCTACGGGTACAGCAATTTCCTTGCTTATCAATGTCCAAAAAGGCAATTTTCCATCTTCGCTTGCAATATTTGCAAAGCAAACACAAAACCCAATATGTCAGGATATCAGAATCCAAACTGCAAAACCAAACCACATTCCCGGTTCGCTCGAAAATACACGTGCCAAAGCAATCAGTAAAAAATGCTAAAGACAACAGAAAAGCAACATGCGGCTAGATGATATCAGGCAATATTTAAACAGAATTCAAACTCTAAGAAATCGTAGACCAATGAATTAATAAATGCCTTTCACAAAAATACTAATCTTGGTTTGCTCTTGGTGCTGTATGTGTACTGAAAAAAAGTAAAGAGTTAGACTAAAGAGTGCCTGTCCAGCTTTGTAACACACGTCACCATGACCAGCTCCAGCGGTTGACATCGGTTCACTCATTAAGCTTTGTGTTAATTTGTGATCTTGTTAAGAAAGGTTCCCAAACACAAGGTGTGACTTTGAATTGTGTTTGAAAACATTCCCAAAACTTAAGTAACTAATGACCTAACTTATAGAGCACCTTGATGTATTTTTTTCCACAATACAAAGACATTTTTTGGTGACTAATTTGAAAGTATTTCCATTGGAAAGCTGCATCGGAGATGATGGGAAATGCTGTAGAGAGGTTTAATCTAGTTTTTGGCTTCATCATTTGTTAGTTTTATAGCCTGGCAGAGTGAAATATGCATCTCTGAGTAGTTCCAACTTCCCTTAACTGATATAAAAAACAAGAAGAAGAAGAAAGCACAACTGGTATTGAACATGTGTGGCATTCACTTAATGCGACCAAAAGAGATTCCAATTAAAAAAAAAATTGTTATCCTTAACATGTATTGGTAACAGATTAAAGTGATTTTTAGTTTTAGCCTAAGAACAAGAATAAATGATTTTTTTTTTAAATCAAACATATGCAGTCGCCCCAAAAAAATATTTGGACATTCAAGCCATACCAAATGTCTTTGCATTATATACACTTTCGTTCAAAAGTTTGAGTTAAGGTTTTTTAAATGTTTTTGAAGGTTTAAATGTGGCTTGAGTGTCCAAAACTTTTTGGAGCCACTTTATGAATATCTTTTGCAAAGGGGTTTAAAAGGGTACATCTTCAAACCATTAATGCAACCCACATTTCTGGCCATGCAATATTAATTCTGTTAGCAGTAGCACTCAGGTAGAGTACCATTCTGACCTCAGAGTGTGATCCTGTGGCTGGGCAGAGCTTAACAAAGAAAACACAAGGCACTTCACAATCCTTCAAGAAAGGAGGCCTGTCTGAGCCATACTAAATACTGCATTTAAACAGCACTAACTTAAAATAGTCCAGAAGAAAGGTAAGCAAGGTAACAAAAACACAGCGAATGGATTACAAGAATAATTCACCCAAAATCGAAAACTAAGCCTCCTGTCTTTCTGAGCCTGTATTGTTTTTGAAACTAATGAGTGTGTGAGCTAAAAAGTACATGATGATTTATATGGCCAATCTCCCAAAAAAGCATCATAAAAATAGTCTGTTACTTGTGAGTTATACTTCCAAGTCTTCTGAAATCATATGAAAGCTCTATACAGACCATAATTAAAGGATTTGTTCACTTCAAAATGTAAATTTCCTGATAATTTACTCAACCCCAATGCCATCCAAATTGGTCCAAAGAAGGTCCAAATTGCAGTTTCAGATTCTACACAATCGGCTATTTTCAAAAAAAAAAAATAATAAAATTTATATACTTTTTAACCACAAATGCTGTTCTTTCAGTTGCTCTGCGATGCGCCACATATTACGTAATCACGTTGGAAAGGTCGATCAACTACCACTGTATGGCGACGCCTTATGTCACGGTTGACCTTTCCAATGTGATTACGTAATGTGTGGTGCATTGCAGAGCTCTGTAAACTGAGCATTTGTGATTACCTTTGTTTAGAAAATTACTGATCGTTTCGGGTAGCCCCGTATTCATCAACTGGGATCGCGTAGAGCCCTTTGAAGCTGCACAGAAACTGCAATTTGGACCTTCAACCCGTTGATAACCGAATATATGTAGAAAAATCCTGGAATGTTTTCCTCAACAAACTTAATTTCTTTTTGACTGAAGAAAAAAAAAGACATAACTTGGATGACATGGGGTGAGTAAATTATCAGGATATTTTAATTCTGAAGTGAACTAATCCTTTTTGAATACAGTTTTTAATCTCTTTCGCACTAGGGTTGACACTGAAACCATAAAAAGGTACTAGTTTTCAAATACTTGTTCAAATAACACTGTTTCACGCTCGTTTTTAATAAAAAAAAATGAGATGCAATTGTGGCATGGCAAGTGCTGGAAAACTTACACAGCATATTAGATTTGAGAGATATGGTATATACTGTAGCTAAGGACATAAGTCATTTGGACTGGTTTATTGGATGGTTTTGAAGCTTAAATCACATTTGCTGCACCAAAGGAATGACAACAAATATTTCAAGGTTGACATGAGATGAGGATGAGTAAACAATCTATTCCTTTAAACACTATTTGATATAATCAATGTCTGATGTCTCTGCAGCTGAACCGAAACCCCATTCTCTAAGACTCTATTGGCCATCGGCCTGGCACACTGTCATACGAAGTATATTTGTTATGTAATCACGCCTCTCCATTTAGCAGGAAACCAATAGAGGCAGCTGTGACAAAGGACATTGGCATCAAGGCCCACCACAGAGAAGATCAATATGAGCTTTGTTTGGAGTATTGATGTCTGACCTCCCCTCACCTGTGTTTGAGCAGAAGCGCTCGCAGCACGTTGGCTCGGTCTTCGGCTCTGATCTGGTCCGAGATGATCATGGTTTCCACCAACAAGTGGGCGATGCCAGGCAGTGAGGTTTGATCCAGATCTAGCATTATGGCACCTGGGTAACAAAATACAGTGTTTGTAACATCGCTCCATTTATCATACACCTCTGTCAGCTTATATAATGATTTAATGTATATATATGCAAATAAAAGAAGAAAATGTACTGGCTAAATTTAAAGTAGCTTGCTTTTGTAAAGTATTTAATTCACTGGATTATCCAAAAATAGGCACTGTACCACATTTCAATCAAATGTTCAGCATAAAAAAATATATCACGACATGTACTCTTACTGTGATATTAAATTTCTCATATTGTGATCACACCGCCTAACTCAACATAACCACAGTAGTTTTTTTCTTGTTTTCGCAAACCCTCATGTCAGTTCATCACTGCCGTCCATTAAAAATGTTTTTTGTCAGGCTTGTCATGTTGGTTCCATAACCACAAGAACTGAAACTTACCAAAACCTTCTCGTTGATAGACATGTGTTTGGGTTTGGAGTTTGGAGTCATGCTTTTTCAAAAGCATTTTTCAAAACTAAAGAACTGTTTACCTTGAATGGAAAATTATCCGTTTTTCATGGTCAAAAAGTGGATATGCCCAAGAGGGTTTAATCCATTTATATAATTTAAGTGTCCATTTGAATTCTGTCAGTCACACGACAGCAGTGGGTTGTCAACTAGAAACAGCACGTGGATGTTAGGATTGGACCAGAATCGCAGGGTTGAGTGGGCTGGCAGAGCGTTCGACTCTTACCATGTGTGATGGTCCTGCGGAGCTCCAGCAGGCTACGGAAGGACAGCGAGGCCACATGCGGTTTACCCCAGCGATCCGTCTCCTCCTCCACGTCTTCCTCAAACTTGATCCAACGTGCCGTCTCTTTCCAGCGCATCTCCTGGTTCTTATCCACTATCAGCTCGTTGAGCTCCACAAACACCTACGGTGATCACAATGTCAAAAGCACATCATAAAGCACTTTTAAAGAATCATAACCAAAGTTACTTCAAGACCTGGGCAGCTCATAGGAAACAGGCAAACAAGTACAGCTCTAGTTGGAAGGGGAGCAAAACTGAAATATATGACAGCAATATCATAAATCTTCTTTTGTTTTAATATTTTTGTCTGAAGGGACTGTTTGGTAGGCAGGCCCCGAGGCATGGCGAAAAGATGTAGTGTCTCGTTCCCTGTTATCAGGGAACGGAGGTTACAGTCGTAACCTAGACGTTCGGAAGGGAATTCGCACTGCGTTGATTGACGCTAAGGGGAACAATATACCAACGCCACCATAATAAGGGGAGTGCATACCCATTGGCAGTAAAAACTGTCAAAACCAGCGAATTAAAGTGAAATGCCAGAACCACTCACCCTCGGGTCACACTGGGCTGTCAGTGACAGCATTCCCTATGGTCATAGCCCACAGGTTCCACAGTAAAACCTCCATAAATATTGTTTAATGAAAGGCCTACCCGGGCCTTCTCAATGGCATAGAAACAGAAAGTTTCAAATTTATGGCGTTTTTCCACTTCTGGTATGGCTCGGTACGGCTCAGAACGACTCGGCTCGGCACGGCAGGGCTAGGTTCGCTTTAGCTCGTTTGCTTTTCCACTGCAGAGTACCGCCTCAAAGTGGGTGGGATTAGTTTAAAAGCAGTCACTACAGCAGTGGCTGTTACTGGCTATTTAAATCTAGAGGGTATGGTTTCTCGTGTCGCAAATACAATGCTGGTAGTGACGAGTACCAGTACGATACGCTTGGAACCTCAACAGACCAGGTACCATTTAAAGCAAGCCGAAGCGAGCCGTACCGTATCATGCAGTGGAAATGCGCCTAGTGAGTCAAGCTGTACCGTACCATGCAGTGTCAACTCATGGCTATGCTCTGGCTTCATGGGAGCATACTTCGAAAACCAAAAGGAAGTGAAGGTTGAACTTTCCTAACCTTCCTAACTTTCCAGGGGAATACATCACCTCACCCTGAGATTCAACAGGGTGCGGGCCCTCTAGAGGAGACAGAATTCAATCTGCGACCAGCCTAGGGCAGTGGGGCTTGCTTGTAACCCACCCACCTACAACTCGGTGCTCGAGCAGTAGCTCAGCGAGGTGAGTGGAGCCTATTCTGGCGGCCCAAATCCATATGCTAGTTCTGCATGGCGGGGTTGGGCAGACAAAACCCAGTCTCTTTGTGAGGCGAAAGACAACCTAACACTGCTAAAGAAAGACCCATTGTACCAGGGAGCCCTTATTGAGGCCTAACCGAGGGTCTGCACCAAGCTGCATTATTCTTCTCGCCCCAAAATGCTGAGAAAGGGACGGGTGTTGGCCAAACGACTCCCATGGGAGGAGGCTGTAATATAGGGATGCTAAAAACCTAAATTTAGAAAGTGAAGGGCCAGAGGCAGAAATGCTTTAACAGACCACCTTCATTATCCCTAGCATAGGCTAGGCCAGCTACAGAGGCGGCCCTGGTGAGGGCCATCCTGTAAGCATAGATCTACCTGAGGCCTCAGAGGAGCCATAGCCTTACGAGAAAATTTGTTTGTTTTTCTTTTTTTTTATACGAGGGGCTGCAGAATCGCTCAGCTTACTGAAAACCCAAACAGAGCTCAAGGGGCCGGTGTACTAAGGATAAAAAGATATCAGACGGTCCTGTGGGACAGTCATAAGATCTATCTGAAGCTCCAGGGTCAGCTTTTTTTAAGAGAGAAAGAACAACTACTTTACCCTGAGGTGGCTAATAGCCCGAGGGCTAACACAGGTGTATGTAGAAAAAACAAGAAGTAGCATAAACATTCCCATTATTCTTTCTAGAATGAAGTTCTGCCACTAAACTCTCCGCTAATAACTTATATCAGCCTTTCTCAAACTTTTTTCAGTCAGGGCACCTTTCAAAAGTGCATAAAATCTCAAGGCACCCCAGTGTAAAATATAATTTAAAAACACTGCATAACCCAAATTTAAAAGCAAATGTCTTGTTTAGTTAGACAGAACAGTAATGAACAGAGCATAATATGAACTGTAAATAACAATAATAATAAAAACTTTATAGCACCTTTAAAAACACAGGTTTGGAAAGTAATTCACAAAATAATTAATCAGAGACACAAATGCCATAAAACCGTAAGAGGTGGACCGCCCAATACAAGAACCCAATAACAAATCCAGACCAGGAGAACTCAAATGAAGTGCAGGATGCAGATAAAATAAAATAAAAATCCCCGGCTCTTGTGGGGATTTTCTTTTCAAAAAACGATCCATAATGCTGTAACTAAAGTGGCCTAAATTCACGTTTATTTTTACGTTTCTGTCAGTCTGAGGTGTTGCTATAACGCGTTGCTATGGATTGCGTCACTTGCGTCAAGTTGTGTGTGTCTTGCTTCGGTCTTGTGAGACGGATTTTTTTATGATTAATTTTATATATTTATCTAAAATGAATTTACAATTTTATTAATATGTTCATATGTTTAAAAAGAAGAATGTAAATTCAAATATATTTATATATGAAATGTCAGCTGTTTTTTTTTCTGGGGGGTTTTTTTTTCAAATTTTTTTTAGCCTACGTAATTTTTTGGCGGCACCCCTGAGACAGCTAGGGGGCACCCCAGTGTGCCGCGGCACCCACTTTGAGAAAGGCTGACTTATATCATATGAATGAGAGGCGGCCTCAAATGCTCTCACCATAAGAGGAAGTACAAACTACAAACATAGTTTTACAACTAGAATGAGTGGAGGCACACCTTGCTTTTTCTTAAATATGACAACAAGGGAAGCCATCACATAATCACAATCATTTTAGCCACCTAACAGGAACTTCAGGGCCCTAATACCAAAATATTTTACCTTACCTTATGACATTGACCTGACCCCATAACTCTATACAGGGAATGAGATCTGAAGAGAGATACATTTTAGTGTTTGTTGGACACAAAAATTACTCTTAAAGAAGACCAACTCAGCTCACCTGCGGCGTGCGAAGTGAAGACTCATCAGACAGTTCCTTATGAACATGGGGTCTACCATCTTTACATGCCTGAAAGAGGCACTCTCACTAACCAAGCCGAGGCGGGCCATCAGAACATTGTTCTCACCATGGGCCCAGCCTCAGGCCTGACGTAAGAAGCATCTGGGGAAAGAGAGGAGAGGGCTAAGATATAATCACGCCCTCAAGGAAGGTGATCCATCGCCGACGCTGTGTGCGTTTTTACTGGATCACCTCCATCAGATCCCTTTTCTTGCGGGAGTCGCGTCTCTTCTGCGACCTACTTCTCCACAGGGGCGGCGCTCGAGAGGTGACACTGGCTCTCAATGCCCTGTCCTCAAAGCCCACCCGTCTGTCTGGGTGTGGATACAGATCTCAGCGGTATACATGGTCCTGAATGCAGCTGAGCTCACCTTCGCCTCTCTGAACTTTCCAACCACCACCTCCAGGCCTTTCTCTTTCTCCCAAATGTCGGCCAAGTTCAACCACATGTCTCTCTGTTTGGTGGCTAGATCTGTGGTGTGGCGCAGCTCAGTAACCGCCTCAGGGGCCCCACCCCCTGGTCGAGATCCCCCAGCAGATTGGCCTGGTGTACCTGCAACACCGCCATGGTGTGCAAGGCAGCACCGGCCTGACCCGCTGGTGTGTATGCTCTGCCTTTCAAACTGGCAGAGTTGGAGCTCTCAGTGTCGATGTCCTCTCTCCTATTGACTCAACTTCATCGAGACTAGGCCGCTGATTTCTTCCATGTCCTCTCGATCCAAGTATGGAGATCAGGAAGAATTGGAAGGCTAACCTGAGCTGGAGGTTTATGACCAGGGAGAATCCGCCCTTAACGCGACCGATTTCTCCCCCAATGCACAGCCAGGCAGCTGCATCCTGCCCGCGGCGTGTTCCAAAAAACCAACTATGCTCAGCATACACAGGGCAGGGTGGAAGAGCACTCGCTGCCGGACTAAGATCTCTCAAGAAGAGGGACAAATGAGATCAGAGCATTCTCAAAGATAAACTCTCACAATTTGCACAGTTCCCTCGAGACCTGCCTGTGCGCTCTTCCTTCCCAGACAGAAAACGCACAGTTTGTGTGTCACCCGGTGTCAAATATCTTGAGCACAGGTCTGCACACTTCTGAAAGCACTCAGCCTTCTCAGTTCATTTCATAATTACCTTATTTTCAAGGGATTATAGACAGAACAGTTCCCGCAGACGAAAAGATGATTATCATGTTTGCAAGGCACCCTTATATACTTCCAACCCAGCAAACACAGAACATTCCCCTAACGTTCCCGAATGGTCTGATGAGGATATTTTTTTGGGAACCAAACAAGAACGTTATAGGAACGTTCCATGTAGGTTATTTTTAGGTTCCATTTTTATAACGTAAGGAGAATGTTCCGGGAACGTTCCCTTAACCTTAAGGGAAAGTTCTAGGAACGTTCTGGGAACCAAAAGCTAACGTTCCCAGAACCTAAATTTGTTTGCTGGGAAGTCGCACGTTAATGATTCATGGGCTGTCGCCGGTCAATAGGATTACCAGATTTTATTGTGATTTCAGACATCTGTCACACCTGACGAGTGTCAATCGAAGCAGTGTGAGTTCCTTTTCGAAAAAATGGTGCCGTGGCAAATAACAGAATTTAAATTTTAATTTGACATTGAAGTATTACTACATTTTCGAATCTAAAAACTGAAATAAAAATGAACTAAAGCTAAAAAAAAAAAAATTATTAAATCCAAAAACTAATAAAAAATAACAAAAGTACATAACTACTAAAATTACAACCAAACCAGAAAAATCTAAAAATGAAAGCTAATTAAAAATGTTGTACTATACAGTAAAAAAATTGGTTTGTAATGAGATTAATAGTTTATTTCCTTTAAAAAACACTAAACAGTAAAAATCTTTTTTTTTTTTTTCAAGCAATGCAATGTAATGTTGATTCTTCTCTGATGACTCCTTTGGCTGAAGCACAATTTACTGAAAAAAGTGTTAAAATGGCAAGCAAAAATGCTTATGGGACCTAAGGTGCTTAAAAAATGTCAATTCACTGTTGTGTTCTATGGAGGAATTGTATGCATGTGTATATGAATCCTGTACTCCAGTGAGACAAAATTATCCTTCACTGGTTGATTCAGAGCTTATAGATCAGCAGATGAATAGCACATACTCCAGTGTTGATTGACTGTTGAAGTGCCTTATGTAATTAATCCAACTGATTTAGACACACAGATCTGGCTTGTTTAGTGAATCCCACAGAATGAAACGGATCAATAGGTATCAGCAGACTAGAGAAAAAGATCTCTGAATCAAGGGTCTCTCCTGCTCCTCTAGATTGATTATCTCTATTAACAGCCCCTCATTACCACTATCAATGTCAGTTTAGGGAAAATGGAGGCTTTACTTTGAGCTACCTCTTGAGGAACAACACTGAAATTCAGATCTCAAAATCAATACGCATTTTACACTTTGCATTTTAGTTCGTTTTTGCCTACGAATAAGTTACAATATGGAGCAAATTGCTTGTCTGGATGAACGAAACTAGGTTTCATTTTTCTTTTCTCCATGCAGTCAGGAAGCTCATGGTCTCACCTCATGAGTTTTCTTGTCCGTCCTCTTTCTCCTCTTCAGACTGGACAGAGGAGGTGAGCTATTGCTGGATCGTGGTATTTGACAGCGGGATGATTTCTTGACGAGGTGTCGTCTAACCCCAGGATTGTCCTCGAAACGGTGACCTTAAAGTGAAAGAAAAGGAAGAAAAAAATGAAACTGTCAGTTTTGTGAAGGCAGATGTTGTAAAAATAACATAAGTGAACCAACAATAAACTAACACAGTCTGCTTTAACAAATAACACACAAAATAATTATACATTTTCACGTCTTTATTGAACACACTGTGTAAACATTCATAGCAGATTAATTCCAATTAACTAAAATTAGTATTCCTTAGATTAATCAGCAAACCTGGAGTCCAAACAATGGGCCTGTCCCAATACACACCCTAGAGAGCCACTGGAAATAAGAGCGCAAGACTGTTCCAGCTTCGATAAACATCACAGTTTTGACGTTGGAGTGGTATTTGAGGTTAAGCACATCCCAGGAACTCATGTGTTTTGCAAGACTTCGAGGAAAACTTTCCATTGCAAATTACATTAACTAGACATTACATGTACTTTGGTAGTAAATGTAAAGTGTTGCATGTTGTATTGGTGCAGAGCATGTTTATTGTGAAGCATCACACTAACTAAATCGTTCGTTTCTGAAATAGGGAATACTGTACAGACATGTAGAAGTTTTATGTAAAGTGCATAGTTTTAAAAATCAAAATAGATAAAATTCGGACCTGTAAAAACTTGACTTGCATTTTTACAACACTATGCCCACTATGCCCTGCTTTTAGCTTAGAAATCTCCCTAGCGGCAACAAAAAATATTATTATGCAGCCTCTGTGGTCTAGCAACTTTCCAGAGACGTTTTAGCTGGAAAAAACAAACTCTGGTCAGACCAATCACATCGCGTATAGAGTCGGCGGGTGGGCTTAACATAATGACGATAGAGTTGTGACGGTTCACTGCTACTTGAAAACAAAGAATGGCTGCTGCTGGCGAACAGCTGTCTTTCGATTCGGCTTTGAACGCTACTCTGGATGATTTGAACTTAAGCTTCTCTTTAAAAACAGAACAAAGTACGGCACGTGTTTGGAGATTTGCCGACTGGATACGGTAAAAGTTTAATATATCAACTTGCTCCGCTGGTGGGAAAACACATGGGACTCAGTCGTCACTTCTTCATTGCTCTGATTGGTTGTAGCGTTATCCAATTGCGTATCCCGCCACTCGAATTGAGCCCTGTCAATGATGAGTTCCCAGACCTAACATCTTGATGTAGGTCTGGCATGCCAGGCTACCCTGCTTTCACAGACAAGCCTTACGCCGCCTTCACACTGGCAGTTGAAATCAGCTCAGATGCGGCTGCGAAACGACCGGAAGTCATTCATTTCCTATGGAGATTCGCAGACCGCATGTGAATGGGTCCGAAACGGGTCCGACCGAGTGCGGTGCGAAGAAAATCGTGTCCGTTGGTCATCCGCATGCGTTCAAAAATTTGAACTCCTGCGAAAAGCTACGGACGGTTCCTATCCGACAATTCCAGCGGAAGTTGACCGTTGCTATGGTACTGATAAACAAACCTGAATTATTAACTTTTAATAAAATAAATATTGATTTTATAACGATAAGTTGTGATGTCATTTTTTATTTTCATGACTTTCTAACGTTTATAAGGGCAGTTAATACAATTAAATTGAAGGTAGACATTGAACTATTGACCACTATATCACATTTTTTAGCCGACCTGACATGTCAACGTCCTGGGCAACTTTCCTCACGCAGCATAACCCTAATCAGAGAGATCATACAGAACTGACAGAATCAAACTTTAATCTCTCCGCCATTTTTGTTCTACCCGCGTCCGATGCTTTTCACTGTGTAGTACGACGTCCATTGGGAACGTATTGCGTATTACGGAGATGATTTAAACTGCCAGTGTGAAGGCGGCGTTAAGCTATAGTAACAGACAGTGTTGTAGTACTCGAGACTCGGACTCGTCTCGGACTCGGTCTCGAGACCATATTTTAATGGTCTTGGTCTTGTCATGGACTCGTGTCCATTTGGACTCGGAATTGACTCGTACTCGAACATTTTTTTTTTTAGGACTCTGAATTATTCCCGAGTCCACTCGAGTTCAATTAAAAATATTTATCATGATTATTATTGTATGTTAATAAAATATTTCTTTAAATTGATTGACACGCCTAGTGATTGGTGATTTTCTAGTGCGCAACTGCGCATGACAAATTGTAATAAAATTACTTTTAACACCACCTACTATGTGGCCTTTTTACCCTAAACTGATCATATTTTTTAAACTCTAAGTAAATTCAGTAAAAAAAAAAAAAAGGATTTCTCTAAGTAAATAAAAGTAAATTAGGTAATCAACCCTCACTGGTCTCGGTCTCGACTCGGACTCGACCGTCTCTGGTCTCGGACTCGACTCGGACGCGACTCTCTATGGACTCGGTCTTGACTCGGACTCGACTCTCTCTGGTCTCGGTGTCGACTCGGACTCGAGTGAGGTGGTCTCGACTACAACACTGGTAACAGATTAAAATGCATTATTGACTTGTTTTAACTAAAAGCAACTTGCATTGATATATCCTAAAATATGTTAGTGCCATTGTTTTGTCTCAAGATGGACACCAGTAATGTTTGTTTCTAAGGCACGTTTATAAAAGCCACTTAAATGCCCTGATTGAATGAAGGCTTAATCCTGGCTTAATCTAAGCCATGTCTGCGGAACTGGGCCTATATGTTATAAGTGTGTTCCATCAGGTAACCACTTGAACACTTAGGCCAAATACACAAAGAATGTCATGTAAGTGGTCAAGACTGCAAATGTTGGTATTGGGACAAGCCCAGCAAAGCCAGACTGGAGGTGTTGGTCAGAGCCGCACTGCCCTGTATAACAAACACTCACAGATTTCGATTTTATCTATTTTCCTCAAGCATTGCCTGATCCATGCCTTGAAAAAGTGATCTCAGAAGACATAACACTGAGACGTTTAGGGATAAAAACACCCACAAGCCTTGATATTCATGTCCATGGCAAAACACTTTGTCTATATGTCCAATTTATACAAAAGTAAAATGGTAAATCCAAGGGTTCACGTACCTTTTACTTAACTGTAGCAATGAAATTGCATATTTGTGTGATTGGGAGTAAAAACGGGCCTAGAAAAACAAGAGAATCCCAGGCCTTCTCAGCTGAGTGCAACTAAGAGGCGTACTTTGGATGCTCGGCCTTTCCAAAAAAATTGCTGTGATTTAATATTGTATCATTTTAGCCCACAAACCGAGGTTTTTATTGAATTTGGGATAATTGAAGGGGTGTATTATGAGAAACCCTCTCTCTCCTGCTGTTCCGAGTGCCAAGTAAAAGGCTGGGGCTCTTCAAGGGTTGAGGCCTGCCAGGACGCCCAAGGCCTCAGCTGGTTTGTGTTGTCCTAGTAGCCCGGGGATGTTCGGTAAACAAAGTAAATGTTTTACCCTTTCTCTCCTAGCCTCGCACATGACTCTAACCCCTGCATCCCCCTTTTAAAAAACCAAAAAGTCCACACACTGGTGATGGGCCTTTACCCAGGGGTAGAGCGCTAACAATAAGGTGGCTGTGCCTTTTGGCTGTACTCTGGTTGTGCTTTTCATGGCAGCAGAGCAAAAATGCTAGAGGAGACCAAAACAGCCAAGTTTTCATCAAAACACCACAGGACGAAACCAACTCAGGCCGCAAATGTGTGTTTGAAGCACAAAAGTGCTGATTTGAAATCTCAATTCAAACATTTGATCTGTCCTCTCTTATTTTGTTAGCGTTACCTATTTACCACCTTCACCTTTAACACACTCTCTCAAAATGGTTCAATGGCACAGGCTCGCTTTTTGACAAGATCTATTAAAAAATGCATTTAAAACGCAATACATTGAATACACCTCTGAAACTTTAGAAAAAAAATCTAAATAAAGGTATAAAATATATTATATTGTTATCATAATCAATATAATACATAATTCTAATGTAATATGATATTATTAATATCTAAAAAACTGAAATAAACTGTATATTCTATCCCTTTAACTCATCACAGAAAACTTTAAGCATTTTTACATTTTTAAAAAACATCAAGTTGACAACAGGTTGAATTTTTTTTGTGATCTTTTTTTTTTTTGCTGATTTTTTTTTTAACTAATATAATTACAATTATCACATTTCTTGCCTCATTTAAACTAGGTGATTTTTTTCAAAATTATCCATTTGCCATTGACCCAAATTCAGGCAGTTATAAAAGTTTTATGACACCGAGTTTGTGTGTATTATTGAAAAGAAACAGCGAGACAGAGAGATAAGATGGAAATTGATCTCTGCTAGACTGTCTGTCTGCTATTCACACAGACATTTTCCCGAGGGACTGCAGAGAATCACAGACAGGGAAAGGCCTTGAGGGCGACGCACTAGTAAACACAAAGACAAAAGCAAAAGCCTGAGGGTTTTACTGTTTATCAAACTACAAGTAGGCTATTAGTGAAAAGCAGTGTTTGAAGTCTGATAACTGGAATGGTTCAGACCCATCTCTTTCTATATAAGGAACTGTAACATTTGTTATATTATCTACTCAGGTTGTAAAGTGGTTAGTATAAACCAGTATGACTGACTTTCTTCGAATGGACAATGCAATGGTTTCTTTTTCCATGCAATTATTGTGAATGGGGTGCATTAAACCTTGAAAAACAAACGCAAGCCATAAACCTAATTTGGATTTTTTATTTTTGTAACCATGTTGTGTCTAAAATATGAAAGTTAGTCATGTTAATGTCTTAATTATTGATTTGGCTTATGACTGATATGAGATATGCAAATTTAACAGAAAGACATCTTCGGTTGGTGTCACATCAGAATCATCGAACAATTACTGTTCAGTGGCTAACTATAAATGGCTAAAAACATGCAGGAAAGACAAGAGCATTCGCAATTCAGTATCCAAATAGATGTAAGAACTAAGACCAATCATAATTCAGTGTGCATACAGAAATGATGCCACTGTGTAAACTTTGGTAAGACTTTTTAAATGATTTTGGAAATAAGTTTCATCTCTCTAAGGCTGCATTTATTTGGTCAAAAATACAGT